CAGAGGAGGCCGAGGGGAGGTATTAGGAAAGATTTCTTTACTCAAAGAGTGGTCAAACATTGGAACAGGCTGCCCAGAGAGGTGGTGGAGTCACCATTCCTGGAGGTGTTCAAAAAACAGGGAGACGTGGTGCTTAGGGACATGGTTTAGTAGGCATGGTGGTGTGGGGTTGACAGTTGGACTTGATGATCTTGGAGGTCTTTTCCAACTTTAATGATTCTATGATTCTAACAGCAGTATAGAGTGCCATTTTAGATATCCTAGGTTGTCTGAGAGATCTTTGTGGAGCTGGCAGGCATGACAGGGGGTATACAGGAGAACTGGGGTCTTCTGGAGTTACAGCAGAAGCTAGGTGGGGGCATCTGAAAAGGTATTGGGCATTCGGAATTGCTTTCTTCGTGATCATTTTACCGATGAAGACTAGAGACATTTTGTAGAGATTCTTCTTCTATCAAGTATGTGATTCCCAAAGTCAGATTATGTAATGCAAAGGACCATGGCCCTGCAAGTAATGTAATCTATCTCCTGAGTAATGACAAGAGAACTTGTGAGTACAGGATCAGGATCCCTTGTGACATGTCCTTAGTCTTACATTTTGGCATCTTAACACCAGTCTTAACACTTTTGTTCAGAGCAGTGCATTAATTTGAGTATCTCCAAGTCTTTTTTCTTTCACTCTTGAACTTATCTTGTTTTCTCCAATCCCTGAAATTTTCTGTTCCAAGACGACTGATTTAGTTTATTTTAGTTGCTTTAACTAATTCTGCTATGCTTCCATTCTTCCCTATTTTTCGGAGGTTCAATACTGAACAAGTCTTTTTTGAAAAAAAAAAAAATTCCATTCTCATTAAGGGACTCTGAGATGGTTCACAGGGTTACCGAGGCATCCTGTTACTGCCTGTTCCATGCGAAGAGTTAAGATTTAAGTCTGATCTTGTACTTCAGAAATCTCAAAAGGTAGATAGAGGATGTTTGAGTTTGAGTTCACTGGACTTGCTTTAGGACTACTGTATTCTGAAGCTGTTGTTTGCCACCTTCCAGAGATGTTTGTGGTTCCAGGGCATTAGCACTGTAGTTTATGAGGGCACAAAAAGAAAATAGGGCTTGAAATGTACGTGTTGGCACATGTATGAATTAGGATTGTTGTGGGACAGGGAACTCTAGAAATGGTATAGAATAGCAGAGTGTTGCAGAAGAATGGTGGACTCTGGTTCCCCAAAGTATTTTGATTTAGCCAGGGCAGTGCGCGCTTCTTAGAATCTCGTAATGGTTTAGGTTGGAAAAGCCCTTTAAGATCATCAAGTCCAACCATTCCCCTACCCCTGCCATCCCACCCCCAAACCCTGGCCCTCAGCACCTTGTCTGCCCGGCTGTTAAATCCCCCCAGGGCTGGGGACTTGACCCCTTCCCTGGGCAGCCCCTTCCAGTTCTTGGAGCAAAGGTTCTAGCTGGGTAAAGGATGTGCTTCCTCAATGTGTAGTAGGAAATGTACTTTGTACAACTTCTGGCATAAATTAGATACTAGGAGGTATTCGTCTCTCCACCTTGGTAAGCTGGGTTCTGAAGGACAGCAAGATCTGACCATATTACATGACCGCTTCTCATCCATGTGACTGCTAATTTGCTTAGGGAAATTATCTGGCTGACACAGATGACTGTCTTGGTGTCATCTTTTTTCCTAAATTCTTATTCCTGCTTACCT